TAGAAATAGTGCAGATTGAGTCCGCTTTTAGGATTAGGGTTAGGGAATCATAGGAACTGTATTTTATTGTGGCACCAGAGCTCTCTGACAGAGAAGGCTCAATGTCTCAGAAAAAAAAATCCCCATGATCCCCTAGCACTAACCCTAATCCTTAAAGTGGACTCAATTTGTACTATTTCTGGAAGTCTGCAAAGGCCCTAGGCTGGCCTCCTCCCTGCTTTCCTTTCACTGGCAGGGATTTTAATATGTATTTGCTCTCAGAGAGGCTTCATATTTGGGTGTGTGCTTTGTTTATTTATTTTTAATTTTTGCATGTTTTGAAAATAATGTTTTACTTTTTAAATTTAATTTGATACTGTTTTAACTGTGACAGTATTAATGTATCAGGTTTTAACTGATTTCTTCTGTAAGCTGTCTTGGGTCCCATTCTGAGAGAAAGGCAGCATACTAAATAAATAAATAAATAAATAAACTTAGCCCTGAGGAAATGTCATCTTTTACAGAGAAAAACTGAGTAGTGTCATAATTCAACTGGAAAAATATTAGGCTTGAGAAAAAAAAATTGATTTCTTGCTCCTCAAACAATGAGAGATCAGGCAGCTAACTTCCCTGTTCTTTGCTTTTGGATGGCATGCCATCTTTAAAACTGGAATGGCAATCTGAGCATTGAAAACAAAACACTGGCTTCTTTTGGCCTATCCAGGATGGTTATAATAGAGTGTGTGGGCAAATGTTTGTTTGGTAGCATGCTTAATAGCAACATCTGTGGTGTCCTAAAAAAGAAGTGAACAATCCTAGCACAGTATAACTAGTAAGTGCAAATGACACCAGTCTCAACTCAAAATCCACTTGAGCCTTTATTTTAAACTTGAGAGGAAATCCTGTCTGCCATTCTTAAATTGATGTGACTTGCCCTTCTCAAATCTCAACTGAAAATAGATGCTAAAGATGTACACGCCCTGCCAAAGTAGTTCAGTTTTTGTATCTTTAGAATACTTGGGCTGCAAGATAAGCCAAAGATGTGGGTGTTTTTGAGTAGAAAAGATATCCAAGTTGGATGATTCTTCTCCAGCTTGGCATGTCCTGGATGCCATTTTAGTTTCTAAGGAGAAGGGGCTTGTGAACCTAATCTGAGCTGACTCAAGATTTTTAGTCTCCTGAGATAAAAGACAAAATGCCATTCTCCGTGATTCCATGTGTAAAAGCCAATCAACACAGGCAATGTTGGCAGTCAACAACAGTAGCAATGAACAGTCAGTGCCGTACTGGCCACGTGACAGAATCCTCCAACATACAAAAGGGTGGCAGGCTGTCTTAGGACCTTATCACACGTGGGCCACAAAGTGATAATAAAGTGAAATAAGAATAAATCCAGTAATAAACCGAAAGAAACCCCACAATACGCAAATGGTTATCAGACGCAACTAGCATCATTGAGCAATTAAGGAAAGTGCTCCCGGGAACCGTATTTGCCATTCACACACAAGTG